AGCCCAAGTGCGGTAATTTTGACTGTTGATGTACCCTGATAAATGGAACCAGGCTTCATCAGTGAAAAAAGTCGAATCCAGCACATCGTTATTATTCAAATGCTCATTAAACCAATGACAAAATCAGATCCTCCTTTCAGAATCAGGTAGTTTCAGTACTTGTACAGCAGTAATCTTGTAGGGATACATTTGGAGATTTTCCTTCTGTGCCTCATGACAAGTTACTTCAGAAATACCTGAGAAAGGAAATATATTACATTATATTCATGAAAATTTCACCAACTAATTAGTGTCCTACCTGTTTTTTGTGACAATTGGAAAGAAGAGTTCGTCTACCAGATGATATTCCTTGTAAGATGCAGTCTGTGATTGGAAAAATATAGATCATGTGGGATATTTGCATTTGAAAATGCATCATGAAATTGTTCCTGGCAGTTTTGAAGTGAAGATGTCCACGTTCCATAAGGATTACAAGTACCACTTCTGAAATTTGCCATTAATAAGAAGGCATTCAAAACCATGTTGATAATCTTGAAAGGAAAATTAGGACATGAATAATAAAAACGAGAGGTTAATTATTTCTATTTTCTAAATTACAATGTTTGAGTGAATAAACGAATAAGACATATATTCTGCTCTCCTCAATTTCCCTTATAGCGCCTGATTGTCAGATACTATTTTAGAGGTTACATTTTCTGTCAAATCAATCATAGCCGTAGATGGAAAATAGAAATAGGGTATTAACACCCACTTCAATTTAGAATGCATGTAACAATATTTTGATATGACAAAATAGACAAATATGGATATACTTATAGCTAGTTCGGCCGGTATTGAAAACGCCCTTCGCTGATATACAGTGAGTCCAAGATAAGGATGTCTATCATGGGGTAAAGCTGTCTTAACGGTATTTTGTAGAGCTTGAAAAATATCTCTTCAATTAACGTCAGAAAAAATTTAAAACGATTTCCATGAGATATATCCTTATTTTGGACACAGTGCACGTTGCAATTTACTTGATTTCCTCAGTTTCTTTCTCAAATTTTCAATTTCATACGTAGTTTTGCAATCAATTCCTCTTTCTCCATGACCATTTCGTTTTGTTAATGAATGAGCCTAAAATATATGTTCATTGTAATCAGCTGTTATAAGAAGTGAATTTTAATGTTTGTACCTCATAAATTCTGCTTGTCTTCAATCTCATTTTCCATCCAGGCCGTTACATACATTACTTCCGTATGAGATTGGTCGATATTTCCTTTGGAAAATTGAATAAATGACATCCATTCTCTTCAGAATTCCAACAATTCATTACACAACATGACATTTTCATTTCTTCTTTCTTCTCGATAGTTTATGAAATTATATTTTAATTCTGACGTTCATGAAATGTATTATCGAATTCAGACAATTTTGAATGAAAAAGCGCAGGATGACTATGGTGGTCACAATGCAAGGTTTCTAACTTAATAAATCTAAACATTCAAAAACACTTGTCATTTCTGTGCATGAACTCTCATATAACTAATACCATCCAATGACTTTAGTTTTGATTACTGTTCTTGGCAGTGTTAGTGAAATAATCAAATGCAAGAACAATAAAATAAAAACAAGAACCATATAACCTATCTACAAACACGGGAGAAAAGTCAACAATGCGCTACTGGGTGCTAGGGATACGCAGCTGTGCAGTATGAATTTCGAAAACGCTAGAATATTGATGATGTATTAGCAATCCAACTTTCCCGTTTTTAATTCATAAACAAGGCAAGCTATTGGATGCTATGCCAGTTGACAACTGAGTAAACATGATAACAATGTATTGTTGGTTGCATACGAATATGATCAGCCCAGCCGACAAACGTTGTTTTGCTATATGTATGCATACATTATCTCTAGAAAATATTCTTCTAGTTTAATATTCACCAACACACAATTATTATTTCATTTTCTATTTCTTTTTATTTGGGCTATCTATGAAAGCGCATTTCCTTAGTATTTCAAACTACTAAAAACACTGCTCCATATCCAAATGTATCTTCAGCTTCTAAACTCGTCAAATTTTCGATATTTCCAAATTTTCAACTTTCCCACACTCATATCCATTTATTTGTCAACTCATTGAATTTAACAGCTTCACAAAAGTAGGCACATCAATAACACATCATGAGAAATTATAATTTGAGCACAATAGAAAAGTAATAAAATAACATCATACCATAGATTGCAAACTCTTATAGCCACCACGGATGTTTTATACTAAAAATAATTGTGGCTGTAGTATCGTAGATTAATAATAATCTATGGTATTATAGTAACTATCTACATGTACCTACTAATATATTAGAAATCCAAGAAAAACTAACATTCGACAAATCCGCTTCTATACGCAGAATAACATGTTAAAGAAATCTGCAAAAGAATCGAGTTAAACATGGGCATGGGCAGTGTATATCTAGGGGAGTCGTTAATCTATGTTAATCTGTTAAAACTGACGAAGGATGCTATTTTTTGCAATGTCCGCAAATTTGGACAATTTTCAACTTGCTCTAGCTCCTCACTCGTTGGTTCTTAATTTATGAGGAAGAACAATTCATTATATATGTGGTAAATTTTATCTACTTCAACTGTTTTTAGGGTAGTCTTTTCGACAAAATGTGCTGTTTTGTGCCTCTCGGTACACTCCAGGAAATTTTGTATGCAAACTTCAGATCTGGATTCAGCATCCCAAAAAACATATAACCGCAGAGAAACCGACTACTTTAATTTTGTCCACGTGCAAATACCATTGTATTGGACTAAAGGTATTCTAATTCCAGACGGGTTTTCTTCCAATTTCGACTTCCTAATAATTTTGCTTCCATTTTTGGTCGCAAGCCCATTCGAGGTCCAAACTATTTTTTTTTTCAATCTATAGTTACAAACTATTTTTTTCAATTCCAGGTTCCATGCCTATTTGAGTTTCATATTCTTTTCCTTTCAAACTCCTTTTATTTTCAATTTTAGGTCCAAAACTCCCATCCTTTCAATTAAGAGTTCCAAACTCATTCAATAAGTACCAACTGGCAATAATAGAGGGGACGTAGCGCATTTTTCATGAATATGGTTGGTTCACGATTCCGATTCAGTTAAATTTGCTTGATTATTGCCCACAAGCAAAAACTAATCATTCCATCATTTGAAGCCGCGAAAACATATCGCGTTTTTCGTGTTTATGCTTTGGTGGTGCCATTTACACTCATCGCCAAACTTCTAAAAAACATCGGCGAATCTTGCTAAGGAGTGTGTTGTGCATGAGAAGTAGTTGTGTTTAAATTGTCTATAATTTTGTTTGAGAACTTCTATAAACGTTTAAAAACACGAATCATTATTGTTGTGTACTTCATTGTTCATCTTGAGCAAAAAAATCACGAGTATACCTTTCATACCTTTTAAAAATCAGGACAGTCCAAATTTGTATTTGAAACTAACTTTAGGAAACAAGGAAGTGATCGATCGGAGAAAGGTGTGGATTCATAATTTGAAGATTGTAAAAAGTGCCTGAACATAATGAGAGATTGTTTTTTACGCTTCACTGAAAATTTACTCATATATAATTTCAAATGTCTATTATGAATATAATATCTACTTCTTGAGGTAATGGTAAAATAACAAACAAAGTTTAAACTGATTATATCTTTACTCATGAACAGTAGAATTTTTAAACAGTACAGAATTTTATCAGGTTCTTGATAATTGTGTTGACAAAAGTCAAGTACAAAATTATTACCTAAATTTACTTTCGAAAGAACATTTTATTCCTAAAAAGTATGCTGGATTTTGATAATGATGAAAACTCACAGCTTATGTATGTTGGTTAATATGAAGTTCAACTAGAGGTAGGTAGGTAATCTAATGTTGAACAGAGATAATATAGTCCTCAATCAAAACACAATAGGCCACTGGAAAATCCAAAGTTCGAAAATAGACAAATAACAAACCTGAACGTTTGAAAACTCAAAACGAAATGAACATAATAGTTATTTATGTAATAAGGATCATAAAGACGATCATTATGGTACAAGTCGTAGCCAAGTCCGATAACACGGCGTGTGCCATAATGATTGTTTATGATTCGTATTACATACAAAATTTTATCTGATGGCATTTATATCAATACATTTTCGAAAAATTAAAAACTGCATTTTCGACATGTCACAATGACAACTATTTTTAAAGGAGTAAGTATTGTGTAGTTTCAAATATTAGTAGGTGAGTGAGCTGTGCTTTGCCATTATATTAATATTACAAATTGTAGTAATTGTTCTTTTACCATTTATAATAAATAGTTTTGTACATAGTTATGCATTTTGAATAAACTTTTTTGATCAAACCATTACATGTTTTCCTTATAGAATTTCATTATGGTACTTAGTCCCATAATGAGCTTCCTCATGTCATCAAAATTGAGTGACATAACGTTGTCATTATGACATGCCATCAGATAAACACCATTACCAAACAATCCGCCAATGGCCCATAGAGTAGTACCGACATTTTCCGTTCTGGCGTTACGATCTTAATCTCACTCGGACATGACAAAATTCTTACAGTCGACTCCACCAAAGCTATACTTTATTGTAAGCAATCTTACAGGGACATGTTTCGAAGCTTTAAAGCTTCATCATCAGCATTATTGTTACATAGGAGTACTGTTCTGGAGGAAAAAAGTTATGTTTACATATAATTCATATTGGTGAAAATATTTTTGAAAAATTATGAAAAGGTTAAATGGGGACCGCAATTATTGCGGAACCCATTATGATGACTCCAATTTATGCGTTTTTTGATTATCGTTCTTTATCATACTGATCCTTACTGTTTCGATTCTTATCATTGTTAAAATTTTTATTTACTTTTCTCCAGAAAGACAATGAAATAATGGCACTTTGAGAACCTAATGAAATTTACTGATTTTCAGCCGCAAGCTGTTTGGCTGTCTACAGGTGCCCTTTATAGAAATGCGCAACATGATCAAGCCCCCACCTTCTCCCTTACACAGCGGCGAGGGTGAAAGTCTTTCCGAATGGTTTTGTCACGTTGACACGGCCACTCAAAGTGAATGCTCCTCGTTGAGTTTACCATTTGCTGAGCTGTCCATGTCTTATATGGATGATGCATCTGATACCTCCAGTTATAGCAGGGATGTCGGAAAGGAAGATGACGGTGGGTTCGGAAGAGAGAATCGTAACATCTTAAGGGGTGAGTACCGAATTTTATCCCACTATAGTTTTCACATGTACAAGGGTGATTGTTTATATTTTACTCAATAGCTATCTTGGTTATTATTGGTCTTACAGAAACATTCAAATGGGCAAATATGGGATATTTTTTATGGTCATTCAGAATTTAGTACTACAAAATGCAAACCTAAAAGAACTCTACCGTTTAGGAAAATAAAATACAGGGTGTTCTATTTAAAACTCCAAGGTTTTTGACACTTTTTTGCATTTCCTAGTATTCTGAATGATCATTAAAATATCTTATGTTTGCCCATTTTAACGTGTAACATCCACTTATAATAACCGTAACTTTTTTTCTGAGAATTTTCATTCCCGTTTGGTATGATATTTCGAACTTTTCTGTTAAAGATTTCATGGAGCTGCGAGTCACTGGAGTTCTTGAGAGAACATGCTGTATATGTTTTTGATTTGATGAGAGTTCATTATTTTCAGTTTATTTTGAAAATGTTAAGGTGAAATGTTGAACGAGTTGTTAAGGTTCAAAATTGCAATTTTAATTCTTATATTTCTTGTTCTATCGTCTCTTGTACCATTAACCAGTAGTTCAGCGTTCAGCATTCAACGAGAAGGTTCGCACCAGTATCATCTAGGTATTCTAGGTATTATGGCTGCTTCCATCAACGTCATCTTATTGATCTGTATTGATTATTCATTCAGTCCAGCAGGTGAATTCTGAGACTACTATCGTATCGTTTGAGACGAGAGGAGCAATTCTAAGTGTAATTCGATATCGAAATTAGACAATTCCTCAATACATTTTATCCGATATCGCCGAAGGTCTCGCGGGGTCCAATTCGATATGTCTTTCTCTTGTTTTATTCGTCACTAAAACATTTAGAGACCCTCGAAGGTGACGCGGATCTTTTCAAATCTGTGAATATGCTGCCAATTCGTCACCAAGCATTTTTAGAAAATAGAGAACAAATCCTCACATTACGAAGAAGACGCCAGAATTCTAGAATCCACAGTAATCCTTTTACTTCACCAGAACGAATGTTCATTCGTTTGTATAGGTTGAACAAAACTCCAGTTCGAAGGCTCATCAATATAATTCTTCCCCATTTGAATCAACCAAAAATCAATGGTGGGATTGATAATGTTACGAAAGTGTTTTGTGCGCTGAGATTTTATGCCACTGGCTCTTGTCAAAGAGGTATAGGAGAAGAGGCTACTGTTAACCTCAGCCAAACGGCCGTTCATAGAGCTATACAGTGTGTCCCACTTACCATGCTCACCATGGGTATCTTTTTAACGGTGAGAAATACGAGGTCGGTTAAATGACACCAAATGTGGGGTTTATCAAGGCCAACTATAATGTGAAAGAATATTTCGATAAAATCTATTCGTTTTTGTTTTATACGCAAAAAACAGATTTTGATCATTTTCATGTCTCCTCCGTAACTTCTTTATTTATGAAAATATTCAAATAGGAATTTCATATTCTCATGGCAGTTTTTCATAGTGATTTCGAAAAGAATATGAAATTTTCACCAACTCTTGCAGAATTTGAGATATCAGCACCAACTTTAGTTTTTCAAATGTAGGTCATAGCTCACTATAATAATAATAATAATAATAATGTTTATTCACAACAACAACGATACAGCAAGGTAAATATACAATTTTGAGGCCACATAGTCTAACAGTGGGTGTTATAATAGAATACGGTAGAATTAGTAGGCGTAATGAAAATGAAGTATAATTAAAATCGAAAGAATCAAATAATACTATTATATGAGAAGTTGTTACAATAAACAAAAAGCCCACAGAAACGCAGGGTTGTACGTGGGTTTTGTCATGCATTTTAATCATATATTGATATTCCAGTAGAGAGAGTGTGGATGAAAAAAGACGAAAGCTTACAATTCAGAATATTAAGAAGATGAACATGAAGATGACAGACAGAAAAAGGCTATTCATAAAAATATGTACAATTATAATTGACAATAGCTAACTAACTTAACTAAAACAATCACACTTGAATTCAGCAGTTGAAAAAAAGCAATATTTAGACTAAATTCCTTATATTCACTACTTTGTGGATAGTTAAACGATCCACGTTGTGAATATGGTCTTGAATTGTTTTTTCAATTTATTTATATCGGAGTATTTCATAATATTCTTCTTAGTTTCATCAGGTAAAAGGTTGTATATTCGTGATGCCAAGTAATAGTGGTTTCGTTGACCAATATTTTTTTTTGCCGTTTCTGTTCTCGCTTGCAATTTGGTTTTTTGTCTAGTATCATGATAATGGTCGATTATTTGAATTATGTTTTTATTTTTATGCATGAAAATGAGTATATGGAAATAGAATAATTGTCGGATGTCTAATAGTTTCGTTTCCTCGAAAAGCTCTTCAGTTGGGTAAGTACGATTTTTTTTGAAAATTATCTTCAGAAAATATTTTTGTAGGATTATCAATCGTTTCAGATAAACATCCAGTGCTCCACCCCATGCCAAAATTCCGTACTCACAAATGATATGTCGCAGTAATAGTTTTGTGTTGATAACAACGGAGTTATCGTCATTTATACAAAAACAAAAAATTATTTGGAAGCCGCCATCTTGAATTTATAAATCTCAACAAAAAATCATGATCTCCGACCTCAAAAACCCCCACTTACCAATTTTGAATGGAATCGGACCAAATCTTGGCCGCCATCTTGGAGCAGCCATTTTTTTTCAATTTCAACAAAAATTCCAGGACTCCGATTAACTTGAAATTTGGTAGGTGTTCATAGTTCCGGTGACAATACATTATGGAATTTTTGTTGAAATTAAAAAAAATGGCTGCTCCAAGATGGCGGACAAGATTTGGTCTGATTCCATTCTAAATCGGTAAGTGGGGGTTTTTGAGGTCGGAGATCATGATTTTCTTGTTAAAATTTATAAATTCAAGATGGCGGCTTCAAAATAATTTCTTGTTTGTGTATAAATGACGATAACTTCGTTGTTATCAACACAAAACTATTACTGCGACATATCTTCTGTGAGAGAAAAAAAGTTATTTGTAACTAAGTCATAGTGAGCTATGACCTACATTTGAAAAACTAAAGTTGGTGCTGATATCTCAAATTCTACAGGGTGTCCTTAAAAGGTCTTTACAAAAAGCTACCACATATTCTTCAGACCAAAACAATTCGATACAAGCAAACTTACCTCAGTAAAAAGTTGCTTAGTTTGGGCGCTAGACGGCTCTGAAGTTGAAATTTTCAAATCGATTTTGCTTCATAACTTTTGAACGGCTCATGAGATTTTTTTCAAATTTGGTACGTTGGCATAGACTCATCGGACAATGAAACTCATATCATAATCATAATGAATATCATTCCATGGGCGTAGAACTTGATTTTTTCAGGAAATAAACATCTAAAACTTCTACGCCAATGAACAAAAATCAGTTTCAGTATGACATCTAGATAGCCCAAATCATTCACTACAAAAAAGGTACTCTTGATAAAATTCGATTACTCTGATGGTTTCGACAATATTTAAGTTTTAGTGATTTCGCGCATATTTAAATAATAAAACGATTGATAGATATTGCATAAAAGTTTTCCAAAATGTTCACTATTTTCGCGTGAACAAAGATTTATACGACGCAAAAAGTTGAAATCCTAATCATAATGAATATCATTCCATGGGCGTAGAACTTGCTTTTTTCAGTAAATAAACATCTAAAACTCCTACGCCAATGGAAAAAGTTAGTTTCAATATGAAATCTAGATTGTTCAACTCATTCACTACAAAAAAGGTACTCTTGATAAATGGTCGAATGGTTTCGACAAAATTTCAATTTCAGTGATTAAGAGCATAATCAATAATAAAACGATTAACAGATATTTCATAAAAATTGTTCAAAATGTTCACCATTTTCACGTATACAAAGATTTATACGACGCAAAAAGTTGAAATGTACTCTTTGCATAACTTCTTCATCGCCTGTAAGATTATTCGTCGCCTGTTGGATACGTTGCCATAATTGTTCTACAGTATTCACAGGGGTCTTGTAAACCGTAGACTTGAGATAACCCCATACAAAATAATCCATCGGTGTTATGTCTGGAGAACGTGGTGGCCAATTCACGGGTGCATCATTACCTCTACCTATCCATCTGTCTGGGTACTGTTGGTTTAAAAAATTCCTAACATCCACCGAAAAATGTGGTGGAGCTCCATCGTGCATAAACCACATATCTACCCGATGTTGGAGTGGTAAATCTTCCAACAAATTTGGCAACGTATTTCGTAGATGTTGTAAATACATGTCTCCTGTTAATCTTTGTGGAAGTATGACAGGACCAATTATAAAATTTCCTATTATTCCAGCCCAAACGTTGATTTTGAATTCGTGTTGAAAATGGTTTATTTTAATGGAATGAGGATTTTCAATTGCATAAACGTGTTCATTATGAAAATTAGTTATTCCTCTTCTCGTGAAACAGGCTTCATCAGTGAACAAAATATTCTTTCCAAAGTTCAGATTCATTTCTCTTTGCAAATTAATGAACCTACAAAACATCAGACGACTTTGTGAATCATGGATTAATAAATCTTGAACTGGCGTCTTGTGGTATGGGTATAATAATTGTTCTCTTAGTACTTCATGAACGGCATTCCTAGAAACTTCTAGTTCATTACTTATCCGTCTAGTACTCAATTCTGGATTTTCTTCAATACGGTCTAAAATTTCTACTTCGACTTCGGGAATCCTTACATAACGCTGTCTTCCATAATCACCAGTTCTAGGAGCAAAATGACCGGTCTCCCGAAGACGTCTCTCAACTGCAGCAAAGGTTGGGTGGCTTGGTACGCGACGATTTGGAAACCTTGCCGAATACACCCTCACACTCTCTCGACCATTTCCTTGACAATATCCGAATACCAATAACATATCGGTGTATTCTTCATTGGTGTATTGTA